CAGCACCAGTCGGAGTTATCCGTCTATCGTGGTCTAGAGACAGATCGCTTACGTGAAATGCTTCTACGTGGGCTGTGTGAGCGATTACGGTCGTTACGAAGATTAAGATAACTCGTGAGTGTATGACATAACTCGGTTATGTCATTCTGAGTCGTCTAAGGCTTTTCTTTGACTGAAAATACCTCTGTAGTAGACGATTTTGTTATTTCTAAAATACGATCGGCAGATGCAGCCAGCTCGTCTAAGGCGTTGTTTTGAAACGAGACAAGCACAGTTTGCACCTGTTGAGGAAGTTTAGACAAGAAATGTTGTTTAAATAGGCCTTCGTCGAAAGTTCTTAGGCCTATCACTTCTCTCATTCGTTGCAACATGTCCGTCGCAGAACCGTGTTGCAGGTCGATGTTATTGAAGAGTTGATCCAACCTTTGTCGATCGGTTAGGTCTCCTCGTTTAAGAATCGAACGTTTTAGGATTTCGTAAGGTTCGGAAACATCACTAGTAAACATACTAGGTGTTACGTACCTGTTGAATTCGCGCGGTAGTGGCTTGACTACTGCGAGAAATTGTGCATGTGTGTCGATCACGCCATGCTCGGAGAAGTCAGCTTCTGCGTAGCAGAACCAGGCTTCGATATTGTCGGGCCAGAAAGGCATGAGTTGAAAGGAAGGCGGGGACAAAGTCTTAAGCTTGAGTACTTTGGGTGTCTGTTCAGTCATGATGAAATATGAAAATATATATATATATATCCAGGAAAAAACAAGAAAAAAATCACAATGTTTAAAAATTAAGGCAATGATATATAAAAATCCCAAAAAGGAACAGACTCACAGTTGCAATTAGGTCTACCAGATCACGTCATGCTCACCAATGAGCATGATACAGGTATTTAGTACTTGACAACGCTTCTACCAGTAACACTTAATATACTTTGTTCCCACCGAGAGAAATCAAAAGACAGAGTCGAGGAGATCGGAAGAGTGTATTTGGCGATAAACAATATATCGGAAATCTCTGATCTAATCTGGCTAGCGATTGCGGTAGATGTTGAGCACAGCGTTACCACACGTGATCTGGTGCGGATGCATGACCGAGCGCCTTCAGCTAGATGAGTCCACTAAAACTAATCTGGTCAGTATCCAATGTCGAAAACTTACAGAGCTATTTACTTTGGGGATTTATTTACCGCTACAAGCAAAACATGTGTTTGTAGATGCCTTGTCTACGAAAAATTTTATTTCTAAACTTACTCGACCGTCAAATAATTGAATTTTCGCATGAGTTGTTATTGTTATTCACAACCAAATTATTTATACATCAGTATTGTGAAGAAACCATTTTAGGTCTCCTCACACATGCGATTACTGACAAGTCTAATTAAGGTTTACATAATATACAAAATATTTTAACAAGCTTAGCAATATTTAGAATATTAAGTAACGTCGAAGAGTACGTGCGAATGTTTGAGTTTGTTTATGAAAGAAAAAGAATAAACAGTATTATATGCATTACACATAATTTAAAATACACTATTATTGTGGTAAGAATTATTAGTTGAGAGTCAGAACAGTTAACAATGGTGCGAGGAAAAACTTATCACAGTACGAATTCGCTTGGTAGGAATAAAGAGGTAAGGACATAACTACGCCCCAGAGTTAGCTGCCAAAAATCTCAAATAACATATGAATCATCCTTTTGGATGTATAAATCCTGATGCTCACATAGACCACGTCCATCTTGATTTGATAGTGAACTTTTCCACATGACGACCAATGACATTACCCATCAGCATTTTGGTTAGAGTATAAGCCAACACCTTTGCCGAACGATGGATCAAATTCTTCAGGTACCCTATAACCATTCCTACAGACCATTGATCCCAATCTGAATATAGATATTTTATTTTGAATGTATGGTAATTTGAATTATTGACTAGCTAGCTAAAAACACACTATGTACTCTGTTAAACTTATTCTGATCCGATCACAATCAAATGACTTCTCCGTCTAACCAACCTCAAGAGTTAGTACATTAAGTACGCAGATCCATCGACACTGTCTATCAAGGACCTTATAAAGCTCTTTATCGTGGACGGAATTATTATACTGTCAACAGAATCAACAGAGTAAAAAACACTTTCCGTCGAACTTTCCACTACACTATTTCCGATATTATGAAACAATCACCGATCACAAGGAAACATCTGACATTCGGACTAAGTCGAAATGTTCTGAGAAACGTGAAGCTCTCAGGACGCCTAAATAACTATCGTGTATAACAGACAAATTAATATAATAGCGAAAACTCGCGACGATTCCTGTCCTTTAGATTGCCATTTCCCTTGTCACCACGTCTATATTCGATGATCCGTGCTCAATCTTTGTATCGTGACAACAGTTTGCACACACCAAGACTGACGTGAAATTAATCCTTGCATTATAGCCGATAACAGTTTTTGATGAAAATCCCACAAATTCATATACATAAGTCTACCAATTATTGTTTCTTAACAAAACCATATTGACTCGTTAACCATAAAGCATTTCTTGAAAGTCCATATACTTTAATCTCCGCCTCCTATCTTTGCGTTATTAAGAATATTTAACCTTCCAAACGTTTTCCCTATCCATCATCAGATGACTGATTGATATGATTAAAAAGAAAGAATTGAGGTGAATGACATGAATGGATAAGTGATATTATTGAGTTCTCCAACGCGACTCCAGCAAAATCAATTACTCTCAGTAATGTTCGAATAAAGAATGTTTTCTACCATACCGTCACTAATCATGTTAGGCAGATTAACTGAATTTGAAGCAGTTTTGGTTTGCTAACTTTTTTGAAACTGCTATGACTGTCTTCTAGTCAGTTACAACTTAAGACCAGGCAAGTACATGCATCGGTTCAAGTTGCTGCACCTCATTAGCACAGTAAGACGAACACTGGGTTGATAGAAGCAGTTAACTCATTGATGTAATATATAAAAGAAAGATCTTATGATACAGAAAGAAAGATATGAAATAATTTTAATCTCATAGTTCAAGGGAAGATAGACGGTGTGGTCAGAAGACTGCATTTTGTCAGCGTTTTCACCAAATAAAACCATACCGTCAGCATATTCTAAGTCAACAAGTGAACCTCTCGGTAGAAGTTCAACCCCTTTAAATTTAAATGAGGAATGTGTTATCTCTAAAAGTACGTCAATGACAAAGTTGAACAAGAATAGAGAGAGTAAACAGCCCTGTCGAACACCACTTGATGTAATCAATTCTGATGACAGTTCGCCATAAGCTCTCACTCTACCAGTTGTGTTCGAGTAGAGAGCCTTTATAAGGTTAATGTACTTCTTTGGTACTCCTTTCAGTGACAAACACTGCCATAGAACCTTACGATCAACAGTCGAATGCCGCCTTAAGGTCGAGAAATACTACCATTGTGGGGCGTCTAAACGTGTGTCTATGTTCTAGAACCTAACGTAGTGTGAATATTTGGTCTATACAACCACGTCCAGGTCGAAAACCAGCCTGATTTTCTCTAGTTTGGTCTTCACGAGCTTTGATTAGGCGTCGAAGTATTATTGAGGCCAATATTTTAGACACTATATTAGTCAAACTGATTCCTCTGTGATTGTCACAAGAGGACTTTTGTCCTTTCTTATAGACTGGCACAATCAGTGATTGAAACCAGTCAGATGGGATTACGTCCAGTTCCCAAATTCTACCTAAGACCTCAGTTAATCTGACTGCTAATACTAAACCACCATCCTTAAAAATCTCAGGAGTAAACCTGTCAGGGCCTGCTACTCTCCCTCGTTTCAGATTTCCTATGGCTCTTTTAACTTCGTAAAGGGACGGAGGACTTACATTAACTTGCCATTCAGGTTGACTGGGGATCGTGGGAAACCGAAGTGTGGCTGAAGGCCAGTTGAACTGATCCCTGAAGTGTTCTGCCAATCGATCCAATCTCCTGGATTGGGAATGAATAATATGTCCATCTTTCTCTGAGATTGTTTCGCTAACGGTCGGGTTCCTAATTCCGGTTTCCTTAACGAGTCTGAACAATTGTCTGCTATTACCTATTGCCGCTGCCTTTTCCATCTCTCTTTCTTTCGCTAACAACCACTGTTCTCGATCATTGCGTAGACTTCTTGTCAGCTTGCGCTTAAGCTGACTCCGCACTTCACTATGTTCAGAGCCAGGTGGAATGAGTTTCCGAGCATCTATCAGTGCGATAGATGCTGCTGAGATCCAGTGTTGCTCCCTAACCTTACGGGTTACCGTACTAGCAGATATCACTGCTGTTTCCACAGCTTTTCGGATATCACTCCATGTTGCATCGGGGTGGGCATCACATACATGGCTGCCTAACTGTTTTCCTAGTTGTTCCTGAAATATACTCTTAGCTTGACTATCATTAAGTAGGCCCCTAAGAGGTTTCCTTGCAGCGTCTTTCCTACGTCCAGTAAGACACAGGCAAATACGCGCTCGCACTAGAGCATGATCTGAATCTAAGCATGTGCTCCAGAATGAGCGACAGTCTTCTATCGAGCCCCTCCATCGGTGGCTGATGGCGATGTGATCTATTTGGGTCCAACGTTGGGACGAATTAGGGGGTTGCCATGTTAAAAGATGTTTTTCCTTATGCTTAAAGTTAGTATTTGCAAGGAACAGGCGATTATCTGAGCATAGCTGCAACAGACGGTCGCCATTATCTGTTCTTTGAGCCACGACACCATAAGATCCACCTAGGTGTCTTTCCCTATCACTTAGTTTACCTACGTTACAGCCTAAGATTTCAATACCAAGTAATAAATATTTGAATTCATCTGGAGGCCACTGAAACGCTAAAAGTACGACATGTAAATTCATGATCAGCATCATATCAACCTAGTTTCAAATTTACATAAGGGTTAGAAATTATCGGAAACAACATGGTAGATTATACTAGTAAAGGAATGTGTCAATCGATTAGGTGGACTATCAGTGATCAGAAAAAGTGTCATGCACAACGCACATGTATATGTATTGTATTTAAAAAAAGTACAAATAATCTTTAGAAATAATGCATGCAGTAAACACCATTGATCAAAGATAAAGACTAGCTGCAAAAACAATATCCCGTTTGATTTTTTCGATAGCTAAAACAAAAAGGAGATAAATGCAGAAAATCATCATTTCAAAAAGCGAAAATATATTGAAAACAATCAGGATAAGAAATTTTTATTAGATTACATTACAAAAAGTAGTCGATAGAGACAATTCATACTAATAATTACAAATATCTTTCATTTTCACATACATTATCATATCAGACGGATGTTCTGAGAGAAAAAAAGCAAGGTCACGTCACATTTCCCTATTGTTCGAGTCAAATAAAACATAAGCCATCAAAGTCGGTTGGCCATTAGATAAAAAAGAAACTGTCTTAAATTATCTTTTGGTCTAATTTGAGTAGTGTATTTACGGCACGCATAACCCTTTTCATGTTGAAGTGAGTCAAAAGAATCAAATAAAAAATATTGACCCGCAATGAATCGTGTAAATAACACTATAATAGTTTTCCCTATTGTGCTGGTTATTAAAGATGTAAACCTATGGCCTTGAGTGCAGCTACTAAGTTCGAAGTGTTTCTCACGTTTACGATAAAAAGAATCACAAACAAGTTGAAACGTCCATATGATTTTGGCAAATATCATGCATCACTAGCACCACAACTGTAAATATTTTCAATTTTTTTACAGTGAAAACGGGCTCAACACATCTAGAATTTATGTAGCTGGCACTACTCAGTATACGACTTCATGTCATAATATGCAACAAAATAAAGACACAATAACTACCAACCGTCAACAAATTTCTTTTCCAAAACATTGCTACCAATTGTTCTAGCTGCATTAGCCATTTGTCGTAATAACTCTTCAAGTAATCTCAATGTACGAATAATTGTGCCTTCAAACAAGTCTGTCATAGAACAAACGCTAGCAAAGGATGCTCCTCTTGTCCATGCATCAACAAGATCCATTAAATGAGGTTTAAATGAATCCACGTAATTATCTTCATCAACTGGGAGACGACATTCGTTACTGATACGTGCAATACGTCTGGCTGTATCCTGTGTACAAATAGATATTGAATTAATCGAGATAAAAAGTAAAACGAACAAATTTTATTTTTTCTAACCATAAAAAAGAACGCAAGCACCGTGTATTATTTTCCCCCTGCATTTTTAGATAGATTCATAGAGATGAATTTAAAATTTCGCCCAAACACAATTTAATATTCCTCATGGATATCGAGGGAAACACTAATTTATATGAAGTCAGTGAGTTACAGTTGAAATATTTTTCAAACACAGGAACAACAATCCTACTAGCAAACTATCTTAATTGTAAAGAGACAGAGTTACAGTTTGGATCTCGGAATTTTGTGGAAGATATAATTTGATAAAACACGGACTTGATGAAAATTCTGGATCCAGTGATGCATTGCATGACTAAGTAAACGTTAAATAGTTGAGTTACTATGTATACATAGCTTATTTTTAACTACAAATAATTATATATAAAAAGTGATGAACAACAACCAGTGCTGAAGTAAAAGTATACACACTTATCCAGTTAGTTTGTGAGCAAGGAAACGTGACAATAACTGTATCTCGAAAGTGAATTAGGTGGAAGGTGATTTGAACATAGTTCAATGGCAACAAGTAGCGTACTTTAAGCAATAAGCTATCGCTCACAAACGGTAGCGACATGACTACACTCACTCTACATGTGCAAGTAAACTGGGTGTTAAACTTTAAACATTAAGATGAGGAGTCAAGTGTTTATTACAAAATGTGAAACAGTAAAGCAAATTACAGTTATATTTAAGGAAATGATGGAAATCAGGTGATAAAATTGTCAGTTAACATGGTGAAAGACCGACTCGGTTCGCACAGAAATTCTAAGATGATCTTATCGGTTCAAGAAGTTGAGATCTCGTCAAGTTATTACTAGCGGTTTTACATGTGTAACTCGACTTATTCTAAGAGCTAGTTTAAATAGTTTTGAATCAACTCGTGCATTTAAAAATAGAGTTGTTCATATAGTTATTTAGAATCCCGATTTTAACGTTATCAGCAACAGTACATAATTTTCATGATAGCTTGGAAGCCAATATACTGTGTTTAACCATTAAAACTTAGATAAGTCTTCAGAAAAGAGAAAAATGTGATAAAAAGCAGGATAATTGACTAGAAAATAGTGGGTTATATTTGAACAAATTTAAAAGATTACAAATTTATTCCAACCATAACTTCGATGCTGAATTCAGTCTCTGAAAAGTACGAGAGATGTTGAGATTCAGAATGATTGTTAGTCAGCAAGATGCATAGACTTTGACTATTTACATGTAGTATTGTAGACTATTTTAAAAAAACATGTTTACGTAATCATCTTTGAGTCAGACTGTTTGTGTGGGTGCTAGTGATACTACTCAGATATCCAAACTCGAGTCGATGAGATGGGGTTCGAGCTTGAGACGTATTGGTTGGAAGCTGAATGCATTACTACTGATGATAATCGAAAATAGTTTCATAATAAGCGAATAACAAGTGCAAAACAAATGAAATTCAGGAAAAGTTTTGACAGTTATCTCATACGATTTTAAAAATTCTAAATACTAAACACTTATTAACGATGTACAAAAGTACCAAGAATATGATCTACAATGACTTACTTGTAATGTACGCAGAGCATCAGATAATTCCTTAGTTAATTTGGGCATTTCCGAAGCTCTTTCCTCAAATACAAAGCAAGAAAGTAATGCTGCAATATGCTCAGATGACAGTCTATTGAATACCCCATCAAATAAAAGTTCTGTTAATAATAACTCATCTGCCGAGGTGATTTCACAGGCTACACAACCTTTTAACTCAATTACGTCATATTCAGAAACGAAATTTAATCGTCTTAATACACGTTTACGAGCCGATAGTTCTTCCAATTGAATTAAAGAAACTTTACTATTCAGATTAGCTGTAAGAGCATCGATGCGTTTGCGAAGTTGTTCTTTCTTTCTATAAACTTTAGAAAGTTCTGAAAGACGTGGGTCATCATGAAGCCAATGATGCTGTAGTCTCTCTTGAAAAGCAGTAACTTTCTAAAACATAAAATAATTCACAAGGTTGTGAGGTAATGTATTACTCAGATTTGTATGCATATTAAAACATTAAATATAGACCCACTTACAAAAAAATATATTGAACGGGAATAAATAGGACCAAAGCATGGAAATATAGAATAACCCTAAATTTAATGGACGAGTGGGGATGAGTGGAACTTAACTATTGAGACTTAAGAAATTACTCAACGTCTATAACCATAGACTACGGTTATAAGCTTAAGCTGTCCAGCTTTTTCAAATCAATTCTACATCAGTGTGAAGATGAGTGTCCATTACTGAGAAGCCCCAAAAGATGATGAGGCTACCCAGTACTTCCTAGTTTGAGTGCCACTTTTTCCTGCCGATGGTATTCGGTAACAAAAACTAGCTTTGTTATATCCTAGTGAAGATTACATTACGAGTTACGTCTGAGGCTTATTAATGGACTACTATTATTTATATATTCTTATGGTATAAATATTCAGTAACTAGATTATGTATATTTATATTCCCCTTGTTATAAGCTTTATTTTGACCTATAATTTATTATTGTACGATTTACGGTTCTTAAGCTATGTTCAGTTTATTGACTACTGTCTCCCACGTTCACAGACACTTTTTGGCTTTACTGTGTACAAACGTTATTTACTATTTTATGGTGCGTTGCGGTCTGTTTGGTTGATATATAAGCCCAGTATGTCTGAAATAAATGATTCGATTCGCGTAGTGGAAGCTGGTATTGGTGTTCTGGACTCAAGTGGGCGGGCTAGGCGGACATAGGACCAATAAGGACGCTAGGCTGCTCATACCGGTCGAACGTCATTGGTTTGGCACAGTGCTAAGATTGTATAAGTCATATTCTGATTGGCGGATAAATCACATGATAAAAAGCCAGACATCAAGTCACAACAAGCTTCAAAATAAAAAAGTTTTAAAACGTACACATTTTTTATACTTACCTCATTTACTTCCAGGAATCGTGGATCATTAATGTGCATATCTGCAATAGGATCTAAAACTGGCAAACTACCACCCATACGTATTTTCACTTTTTCTATTGCATTTAAAACACCTTGTCTAGCCTCTTTTGAACGAAGATCATTTGGAACAACTAAACGTACAGCACTAATACCAACAACACAATCTAATCGTACAGGAATAATCTCAGCCATCGGTGATGTATCACTACCAGTAGCAGAAATTGAATTTGAAATTTCCGAGTTATCTACTGGATTCCCACTAGGTACATCACAACCAGATTCTTCTGAATTCGATCTAGATGGATTGGTGCATAATAAGCAATCAAGTATATAAAATGATTCAGGCGTAGATGACCTATCTTTACGCTGACGTTTTTTCAGATTGATCACAGCTCCCCATCCGTATGAGATGGATTGAACAACAATCTATTACAAAAAAGATAAATAGAAATTTGACAAAAGAAATATACAGAATACTAAGATCTTTGATCATTATTATTATAGACTCTAAAAATTATCTGAAGCATATTAACAATGTGAATTAAGTGAAAAGCTTTAATCATTGCTAATTATACTATGGTATGCATATTTCTACAAAAAAATAGTCATTTTAAATAAATTTGTTATATTTTGAAAACGGATCTCCTCATAAACAATATACACTTGACTTGAATAAATGACTAAAAATCACCCAGATATATTCGAGGCCTGACGAACTAGCAAAGTGTTATACAATTTTTAAGATTAGTATTTCCATGATTATCTACTGAAGAAACATCAAATTTCCTCGTCAGTGACCATCTCTACACATCTACAATAAAAGCAGTGGAGAAAGGAAAAAAACACATAACACCACTTTTCAGCAAATACCACGAATGATCGACAAACTCATTCATGTTATGAGACATAAGAAACAGTGTACTCTGAGACTAATTTACTGAAAGTAAACTATCGTCTTGATGACATCACTTTAAATTTACTTAAAAACTGTCATTTATGATAAGAAACCGTGTGTAATCAAATCTAAAAACACCATTTTAAAAGATTCCAAACATAAGGACGTATCTAGAGTAAAAAGATTTAATAACTTCCAATCAGAATGTTATCAATCGTTACACAGTTACTGGAGAATATTCATTCTGTAAAGCTGCAAAACATTTCTTTTCGTATACGAAAAAACATTTCAAAAATTTACTACATGGAAAATTTGACATTAAATATAGTGTACTAGTTCTATATCGCTCAGCTTAATAACTGCATATGATTCATTGATCAGTTTAATTATCTTGGTACAGATGATCAAAGCATTGTTTTAATTACCGTTTAAAAATAACTTCTTGAAATTATTTTACTATCTGCAGTTAGTCAACTCAGAATATATATATATATATATATATATATATATATATATATATATATATATATATATATATATATATATATATATATATATATATATATATATAGCACAGCCCACACACGAATGATGAACTCTTCATGTCTATGGAAATTACTTTTCTCGCTTCGAAAAACTATAAATTGATTCAAATTATTATTTGTGTGGCGCATATATATTGGCGCTCTCTTGTATCAATATTTATGTGTTCAAATAAATAAATATATATATCCACGCTTACTTTAACAAGACGACCTGGTTGGAGAAAAGGTACTATGTACTGTGGACGTCTTATATACTGCCATTGCTGTCCAACTAGTTCATCGAAGCATAATTGAATTTGATGATAGGATTCGACGGATTCTTCATCATCAACAACAGTTGATGAATAAGTGGCACGTAATTCATTCAATTCTAAAAGTAAAAATAAACATTTTCGAAAAAACTACAATTTGAAATAAGCTTCATTGGAATAGGGTGGTGCGAAACTAACTAATGAGAGAGGTAAGGTATTGCAACATTCATTAGTGATTATGTAAATTTGCATATTTTGTAACCGTTTTGTAGTAGTAATTACAAATCACTCGATAACCTGATATTATTCCTTGAGTCTACCATAGTAAATAAGATCTAATGTGGGTATAATGTAAATGATATAACTTTCGGGATACTGATAAATTTTCGTAATCAAAGGTATCAACAAAGTTTGATTCCATATAACAAAGTATCCGTTTAAATTGACTAGCAGTTTTTGCCACGATAATAGTCTGAACTGTCTATTTTAGCTGCTCTGTCAATTTGTACTGTCAGCAACAAAAATATATAATAATAAAAACCAGCTTTATATCACTTGAAAAAAAAAGGAATGAGTTTGATGAATAAAGTCATTAAGAAAGTGATGATTCAATCAGGTAGGGAAATAAGAAAAGGTAATCTCATATGAGAAGACAAACAAGCACAGTGTGAATTTGAAACTGTAAGTAACATTATATTGAATTCTCTAGTGTTACAAGTTCATACCAAATTATGCAT